CTACCTTACTTTCTTTTCATGAATTAAAACTTTTTTCATGAATTAAAATTTTTTAAATTAAAAAATTCGTAGCACTATTTCATTTGTATCATCTACGTGTTTACAAGAAAAATTGTTGGCAATAATTCGATAGAGTAAAGATTTAAAAACTTGTTTTTTTAATTACGATACGATGATTTTTAACGGATATATGAAAATTCAAAGTCAAAATGCTTTTTTTTAATTTGCGATAATTCAATAACAAAAAATCTTAGGATTATTTTTTAAAAATGATTTTAATGTGCGAAAAATTTAGCTTTTATATCATGGAAAGTTGAAAATTTTTGTAAGTTTTTGTGCACCAAAATAGGCCCACAGAATTAGAAAAAAATTTTCCATTTTGTTCAGCTCTTTTTATATATAAATTTTTTATATATAAAAATTTTATATATAAAAATTATCAAACTTAAAAGAAATTCAAAAGATATATAATGATCTTTCGAAAGTAGAAATTTTTTTTAAAGAATGAATTTTTTTTAATTACTTGCGCAAACAAAATTTGTTTTAAATTATTATTGTTCAATAAAATAGTTTTTAAAAATTCAAATTTAAAGTTACAATATCGTTATGTTAATAGAAAAATGATTCAAGTATAAAAATTAGGAATTTTTTAATAATGAAAAGAAATAATGTATTTTTGTAAAAAAAAATTTGCAGCTAATTGCTTATATGGAAAAGCATTGGTTACAACTGTAAAGGATACAATTTACACTATACTTGAGTTGTAATGTTTGAATTTTGAAAACTCATGACATAGTTTTAAATAATATATTATAATTAAAAGAGTATTTGGTTGGAACAAACGTTCGTAGCGTTATGAACTTCGAAATTTAAGCAGCTATAATTTCGTTAAAATGAACGAAATTTACATTTAAGAAAAAGTTTTAAAGTTTAATATATTACAATATAATGGATCACCTTCCGATGATCTTGATCTTAACTGTGTTATCAAGATTATGATCACGAGTGACCTTCGGAAGGTTTTAGCCCACGGTCGTCCTTCATTAAAAAGTTATTAACAAAAAAAGTTTGAAAAATAATGTATTGTTTCTGTATTATACATGCATATTATATAAATGCATATTATATAAATACTATTTTAAATATCATTCTACATAGGTTTTGACTTTCAACACGAAGCGATTTTCACTCCTCCCCTCCTTCCTGCTTTAGGGACGCACTTCTCACCTCCGATTCTCATTCCTTCTCCTTCCTGCAAAGGGGTGCACTATTCTCATCTTCGACTCTCACCATTTCTTCCCTCTCTGCAAAGTTATCTGCGCTCTTTTAATTTAGTATACATTTTAAGTATTTAAGTAATTAAAGTACAGAATTTTTGTGTTATACAGCATAACTTTCTTTGAGAGTCGTGCGTCCTTTTGCAGTTGAGGATAAGAGTCATTCGCTCCTGAAGCAAGGGTTTGAGAGTCAACGCTTCGTGTTGAAAGCTATGTAGAATGATATTTAATATTATGTATAGCAGAAACAATGCGTTATTTTTCAAACTTTTTGTTAATAATTTTTTAACAAAGGACGACCGCGGGCTAAAATCTTTTGAAGGTCACTCGGGGTCATGACCTTGATAACACATGTTAAGGTTAAGATTATCGAAAGATGGTCCGTTATACTGTAATACATTAAACTTTAAAACTTTTTCTTAAATGTAAATTTCATTTTAACGGAATTATAGCTGCTTAAATTTCGAAGTTCATAACGTTATGAACGTTTATTCCAACCAAATATACTCTTTTAATATATTATTTAAAACTATGTCATGAGTTTTCAAAATTCATCAAACATTACAATTCGAGTATAGTATAAATTGTATCTTTTATTACAATTATAATTAATAATTTTCTATATAAGCAAATTAGCTGCAAAATTTTTTTACAAAGATACATTTTTTTTTTCATTATTTTCTTTCATTATATTCTTTTCATTATATACAAAATTCCTAATTTTTATACTTGGATCATTTTTCTATTAACGTTATGATATTATAACTTTAAATTTGAATTTTTAAAACTATTCTATTGAACAATAATAATTTAAAACAAATTTTGTTTGCGCAATTAATTAAAAAAAAATTCATTCTTTCTTTCTGTCGCAGAAGATTCTATCGCGTTTCTTATATTGCGACTTGAATTATGCTTTTCGTAGAGAGAATTATTTGGATAAGGCTAAGCAGCAAAGTGTCACAAGAGATTCGCAAAAATCGCATGTATTGCGCGAATTAGCTGATCGTTAACGCGCCGCGATTTTTCCGCGATGAATTCGCAAAGAAAGTTGTGCAAGCACGGCGAGGAAGGTCGACCGGCTATTGTTGAAAAACGGTCGAGAGCTGAGCCATTCTTGACATTAAACGTGATTTGACGCGGGCGCGGGGTTTTTCGAAACGAAAGAAACGGGACGTGCGCATCGTGCCGATATAGCCACGACGTCGTTGATAAAAGCGGCCCGCGTGTTAGAAAACAATGCCAATACGGATAATGACGGCCGCCCACATGAGTGTTGCAGTAAATATGGACAGGACGCGATGATGGAAACAAAGAAATATTCTCCACAAAAGCTTTTAGACACTTGGAAATTACAAGAACTCTGCCCAAACGTAGATTCATCGTACTGCATCTTCATTTATCGCGCAAATAATAATTTATATGATAATAATTAATCACGTATAAATAGTTCATAATAATTTATATGATATCCCAAGGAATGCGAGCTTCATATCCTAGTTTGGATTTTCAATTCATTTCATTCAATCCTAGAATGATATTAAATGATGCAGTGTTGCTTGATACATAAATTTTATGTTCGAAAAAGTCGCTCCTAATTAATATAACACAATATTTTTATACATTTCACATTCTTAACCCTTTATTATCTCGTGAGGTGTCCAAAATACTCCCCATTTTATAAATTTGCTAAATGTATGAATGCTATTTAAACGCATTATTATTATACATATTTAGTGTAAATTATTTCAATTTAAAATTATTTCTTTTTATTTATTTTTATCTAAAGGTATAAGAATATTATCAATTTTTATTAAACGTAAGTCATCAAAGAAAACAATAAAAATTGAGATATAATGTTAGTGTCAGAAATCCCATAAGAGTAATTACATTAAAAACAATATTAAGTAAAATAGACTAAGAAGTGTTTATGAAAAACCACATATATCAATGTAAAACCAATAATAATAGACAAAATATTTATAATTTAGACTTTTATAAACATAAATAATTTAATTATTAATTAAAAAAGAAAGAAAGAATAAATAGACTGTCAATCTTGAAATAATTAATGTGTATAGTCCAAAGTCTTTTAAATACTGTAGTAATATAATTGCATATTTTATTCTTTTCTATGCATCATCACATCAGTCAGAGTACAGAGTTTTTTCTCATATTCACATATCGGTTTTTTTTACACGTGCAGTATGGGATGGTCATTCTGCTCTTTTTATAGTTACAGTATAGCTTCTTGCTGAAGATAGACTATGTCTTAAACCATTTGCATGTCAAATGTACGATAGCGTTCTAGAGTTAACTTTTTTTTGCGATCGATCTTAGTAGATTAATTTTCAGTTTCACACTTAATATAGCCAGTCGCTAACGAAGGTAATATCCTCGAGGTTGTCTAAGGAAGTTGATTTCTGTAGAAGTCCGTTAATTGCCAGTTTTAACTGACAATTCGATAACGCTCGATTTCGGCCGGTCATCATTAATCATTTGAAATCCTTTAGCCTCTAAATTCACGGGAATGTTCGGCCTACTTAACAGGGATATCACCCTTAACAGCAAATTTACAAATAAGGATTATTTTAGATTGATAGGATAAAGGACTGAACAGGGAAAGCCTATAGTGCGGATTAATTCGAAGAAGAAGAATATATTTGGCTATATTTCTTTTTCTTAGAACACATACAGCGGAACTAACGATTGATTGGCGACATATCGGAAATGCCAATTTTAAATATGTTTGGCAAATTGATGCATTCTCGTGAATAAAAACTCGATGGATTATTTTCTATATATGCACAAAGTATATTGCTCGCGTAACAGTTCCGCAAAATCTTTCAATCTTTCGATTTCACGGCGATTTCTCGTGCTTCACTTCTCTTCGCGAAACGAAAAACCATGAATTCCATTCAGTCGAATTTAATCAATAATTTCATGTACCACTGCCCGAAGCTCATAGCGATTTATCAATTTGAAAATCAAACACGATATCATGTGGCAATCTAAATATAAATCAAATTCATTCTAACGTTTTTCTTTTTCCTGCGGGAATGACATCGACGGTATCTACCTGAACGGTTTTTTGAATCATGTCAAATTCATGACGGTACAATTTCTCCGATAATATCTACAAAAACATTCATCGACCTAACCAACCTGTAACACGTGTAAACCTATTGGGAAAGATGAAGAGAAATGGAGAGAAAAAAAAATAAAGTGGGAGAAGGAGGGGATGCGAAAATGCGGAACGGAATAACCGGAGTCGCATTGAGCGCGAAAATCTACGAGGTTTACCAGCAACTAGTGGCGTCGAAATTCCGAATTTCCAAGCTCCTGAGAGGACTCTACAACCCTCTTGTAACTCACTCTTGTACCCCTTCTTCGTGGAACAGAGACGGAGATAAAGATATAGAAAAACAGAAAAAGAGAGAGAGAGAGAGAGAGAGAGAGAGAGAGAAAGGGGGAGAGAGATAGAAGATCTCGTTTCCCCATTTTCCACGAGAGAATCCTCCCTCTCACATCTCATACCCACCCTCTCTTTCTCTCTCTCGCTCTCTCTCTCTCTTTCCCCATCGCTCCCTCTTCCTCCCCCCTTCCATATCTCGCACGCCGCGTTCCTCTCGCGCGCTCGCGCGTTCTTCGGCCTCTGGAGCGAGTCGCAGCATCCGTTGGACCGTTCCGGACTTCAGTCCACGTCGAGAACGCGCCACTGTCGGGACCTCTAGGAGTGAGAGCTACCCGGAAGCTCGCGACCGACGTCGCGTGCACAACATTATCATCACTCTGTATCCATCGACAATTCATCGTTCAAAACTATGACATCGTGATCTCTCGGACAAGGGATATCCGAAGATAAAGAGAAAAAAGCGAGAGTCGTTCACAAAAGCCTCATCATTGCGCATCACGTGTAGCATACTAAACTTACGGATAACAATTATCCAAGAGCGACGCGCGAGCACAAATTCTTCGGCGTGTCAGTTAATCTACCATTAATACAAATAGTTGATCAACGCTGGTACCAGTCTTGCTTCGTTTGGTACCGCGCGAAGTGTGATTGAATCCAGAGAAGTCGTGAAGTTCCCGCAAGATACAGAGGTTGGTGGACGGGGTTAGTCGGCTTAAAGTTCATCAGCGGTGTTTCTGTACGGAATTCTCCATTCGATAACGAGACGTGACGTGAACGAATCCCACTGGATGCCCTAAGGGCTCGGGAAATCGTCCCCGGATCAGCCGGTCACCAGTTCTGATGCCGACACGTGCTAAGCGCGATCGTTGAGGGTGCGACGGTGCGCAGCTGAAGAGCAGAGCCACGAGGGCCCGCCGGAAGAGCTGAAGAAGAGGGATCTCGGGTCAGGCGACTGCCGGGAGTTGTTGCCCAGTCCCGGCGAGGGGGCGGACATCGGGCCCGGATGCTCGCGAAGACAAGACGCCGGAAGCGCTGCCACGTTGGAAGGGAAAATATTGACGGCCGTCAACAAGTTCCTTACAACGTCCCCTTTGGTTAACAAGGTCAAGTTGCTGATGGTGAGTCTTACTTTCTTGTTCCCTATTTCTCTCCCTCTTTATGCCTTTCTCTTTCTCTTTCTCTCTATCTCCTTCTCTTTCTCTCTCTCTCTCTCTCTCTCCCTCTTTCTCTCGTAGACACATACCGAGAATGTCTGCGCGGCCACTGACTCGGCCCCCGTCTAGTTTCCCGCTTTCTCAACGTAGGAGGACATATATGCTTCGACTTTGCTTTGAATGCAGTTAGTTCGCAGTTGTCGCACGACACTCGTCGCGATTGTACCTTTCCGCCTCCGGGAAGTTTCAGGGTAACGATGTTCGCCGTTACTGCGAGGAAGGTACAAGATATCGACATGATTCCGATTTCTAATTGACGGGGAAAATTGGTTTTTGAAGTTTAGTTTCATCCGCGTCAGTTTCCTCCCTGCGCGAGAGAACGTGAGCTAAATTTCTAATATAATTAAGAAATAGAATACCCTGAATTTTTCATCGCGCTTGGACGACGCTTGGATTACCCTTCGCGAGTTTTGTCTCTCGGGTGTGTTCATAAAAATCGAAGTTGTGGCTTGCAGTATAATACAACTAATAGTGTACAGGGCTCCCCCCCCTCCCCCAATTTTCTATACGTTTTGGCAGTATGTTCTGTGAGCTGAAATAAAAAAATGTCATAAGCATAGATCTTTATAAATACTTTATTAAAAAGTTATAAGAAAAATAAATATAAAACGTGTAAAAAATAAAATTTTACGTTTTAAGTTTGCATTTAAATTCCATTCTTTAATACAAATTTGATTGAATGTAATTTTGGATTTATTTATTTTTTTTTGAGTTAGAGTAGAAGAAATAACCTTTCTATGAAGATTTCCTCTATCCTCGCAAAAAAGATGACAAATTCAAAATTACATCGATGTCAAGCTTGTACTGACATGAGCAGACGGCAATTTGAAATGCAAACTTACATAAAAATGTTTTTACATATTTTATATTTTTGTTGTAACTTTTTAAAACTTTTTAAAACTTTTTAATAACACCAAAAAAAGAAATATTTAATTTTAAGATATTAAAATGTTTTATACTTATCTCTTTTTTTTTTAAATTTAAAGACGTTTTAATTTTAAATTTTTTTCAATAATTAAAACACTATGTATTTGGATTTAAAACACTAAACTAAAACGTTTAAAATGGAAATATCTTTTACTATTAATATTTTTTGCAAAAATGTTTTAAATATAAACATTTTAAACACTGCACTTTTTATACGGTGAAAGCATTTAAAAATCTATGTTTATATATATATTTTTTTATCTTTATTTTATAGAACATACTATCAGAGTTTGTACGGAAAACTGATTACTTTGTTTATATATAATATAATAAATTATATAATTTTGTTAAAATTATATTATTATATACATAAATATCATATATATATATATATATATAATACATATACATATATATATTATACGTTTATTCATCGACATGTTGCTTCGGAAGCTTAACTATCCCTGCTTCTCATCGTCGTGGAGTGCTTGACAGGTCATGAAGCATAATTGTCGATCCACTTTACACCACTGATCGTATCGGCATGGTATTGTCACTCGAATGTTTGTCACCCAATACCTATTTATTTTATAACGATGATTTAATTTTAGAAACTCTTGCCGCGAAAATGAAAACTCTTTGAATCCAGACAGAAGTGCCATAAGTAATTTATCGTGATAAATTCGATAAAATTTGTGAACGGAATAATTATTTAGAAATTACTTAATGTGCTTCCAGCGTTTTATTAATTTCTGAATGTTAATTAATTATCTCAATTAGATTCTAATAGATTTAACCAGAAATCTGATAGATTCAATCAGAATTCTGGATCATTTATTTTTCACCAGAATTCCAATGAATTCATCCAAATATTTTTCTCCGTGAATGATTGCGCATACGATAATTAAGACATGACATAGGTAATAGGGAATTTTTGCAACACCATTTATCCAGATATGGTTAATGCTATTGTCAGGTTATCTTCTTCTTAACAACTAATTAAGAAAAGACTAATGTGACTAGCATTCACCTGGATTCACATTATTGCAAAAACTTCCTAATATATCACAGCGCAGCGGGGATAACTTATGAAATAATTGTATCAATTATGCGTAAAGCTTTTCAACTTTGACCAACTTTTGTGAATTAACTTGCATTTTGACATTATTATTTGCAACGGTATGCTCGCGAGCAAACAATAATTGCTAGGATAACTCCTGGAAGAAAAGCATTATGGTCCCGAACGACTATGGGATGTCTTGGAAATTATGCTGTACATTACGATTGTATCCTTCGCTATTGTGTTATACTTTCTGTTCGCGAGAGATTTTCTTTCCAAATTTTCTACGTTTCTTATGCAGTACTTTGAAAGCGTTTTACATAAATTCGAAGAAATTTCCTAGTTTAATTTAGCATCAACCATCGAACTGCTTAGCATTAAGAAAGACACTTAACTTTTAACGTTTATGTTAATATGTACCATTCCACTTTTCGTTAATAATTTACTTACCGAATTTCGAGGAACTTTGGATGCACACCTGCGCTCATACTTCGTTAGATGCTTTCAAAGGATAAAATTGTTTCCTGCCATGAACGAAGCGATCCGTAAAAATGTCTTAATTGGCAGAATTGTCCTTTGTACAATGGAAGATAAAATATTTACTTAGCTATATACATATAGAACGTCAGAATATTATTCGTTTTTTTCGATTTTAAATATATACGAAGTTTGATTCTACGCTGAAAGTCATAATTAAAATTAATGTTGCGCGAATATTACGAATGAGATTTCCATTCCATTTTTTATTTACGATGTGTGCGCACGTCACGCTAAAATAATGTGTAATTAACTACGTGCGTATTCGTTTTACACGCAATTATGCCGCCGACGATCAGTGATGCGTGATACGCGTGTCTCCCACCATGCCATTGTAATCCGAAATGAAAGCCCGATTGCATGAGCTAGGTACACCCATTTTTTTTTCGATAAATCAATTATCCATTCATAATAGCCTATTGATTGAGCCAGATATAACTAAGTAATGAATGTGGATGGAAAAGAGGATAAAATTGGTGGTACAGATTGCGATGCCATGTATAAAGATAAAAAGAAAATCTTTATGTGTCATACAAAACACGCTCATTTCTCACTTTCATTGTTTGATATACAATCAAAACATTGGGATGTATCCATGGAATCGCAAAATGCGAATAAGAATATGAATACGTAAAGAATGGTTTTACTGAAAGTATCTAAAAAATTATAATTATACAGATTTAAAAATAATTGTGTTGGATTATCAAATTTATAATTATGTAAAATAATTGTAATGTAATGTACGCTTAATATGGTTGAATGTCAAAACTTTCAGCATACTTGAGTTTTTACATAATTAATTATTTTGATGGTTCATGAACGAATTCAGAAGAGCATATTTGAAACACGCTCGTTTCTCTCCCTCATTATTGATATACAACAAATATTATGGTGTATCTATGGAATCGCAAAACGAAGAGGGAAAAAATGTTTTGCTGAAGTATCTAAAAATTTAACTGGATAACAGATTTGGAAATAATTTTGTTGGCTTGTCAAAATAATTATATAAGACGTTCAGTCTGGTTATTTGAATGTTAATTAAATATTTTTTAGCATTAGCTCGTTTTATAGCATAGCTCATTATGCTTGAGTTTTCTAATTATTTGAATGATTCCCTGAGCGTATCCAGGGAATTAAGGAATATTCAATAACCTAAATATTGCAACACAATGGCAAAACACATTTTTTACTCTCGTTATTAATACAATTAAAATATTAAGGTGTATTCATGAAATCGCAAAATGAAAAAATACATGAGAAAAATGGTTTGGCAAAGTATCTAAAAATTTGTAATTAAATCTAAAAATTTTGTTAGATTATAAATAATTATATGAGACATTCAATTTGCAGATTGCTTAAATGTTTATTAAAAACTTTACAATTATTGCTCATTATGTTTGAGTCTTCTATATAATTGTTTTGATAGTCCATGAGTGTCTCCAGAGAAAGGTTTAGATTATCCGAATAGCATAGCTTTTATATTAATTCACAGCGATATTATTGTGAATCCTGAAGATGTATTAATTCGCTTTGGAAAAAAGATCGTCGCATAATTTAATTTTGTAAATTTTATTGAATAATCTTTGCTTTATTCATTATTCTTTTTTTTTTTTATTTAACTTTAGCTTAATATTACATTTTTAATAATATCTAGCAATGTTTCTTATACAGAAGGTATGAGATCTCTTTTTATGTTCTTTTTTCTGAACTTTTTTAAATTTTTTTTCTTAAAAAAATGATAATGAATATTTTGTATACATATAATAATAATAATAATAGCAATATTAAAGAACTACATATTTCGTTTTTAATAACTGTATATGTGACTATACTTTTTTTTAGAAAAAAAAAATTATGTATGATTTAATATTTTTTAAATTTAATATTTTTTCTATTCGAAATAAAAAATTCTAAAATATAAAAAAAAGAATTCATTAATGTAATAAATCGCTGTTTTATAATAATAGAATTGAATTAACACCCATTCTCAAATCCTACATCCGTGTAATGATCCAAAATTATCTTCAGATCTATTTCTATCTACACAGAGAAAATAATGTACTTGAATTCGAAAATATTTGTGTTTATTTTATTAAAATAATAATTTTATTTTGATTTTTTGAATCAAAATTTTGTTTAATCTCAAAAATTTTTTTAGTTTGAATGCAATCAGTTACATTTCTTAATTTAAAGAATCGATTTATTCTATGAGTATTTCAATGACTACATTTATTAAACTTATAATCTTATTCTCTGTGTAAATATCTAAATTTTTAGATATTTTATTAAAATCGTTCTTTTCATGTAATCATGTACTCCAAGGTTCACAAATCTAATAGCAAACCAACATCATGTCCAAATATATAACGAAAACTTGATA